GGCTCAGAGAGGGAGGGGCGGCGCGGCCGTGCCTGCGCTTTCACCGTCGGGGTCCCTGTCCGCCCGGGAGGAGGCCGTCCCTTCGGAGCTGGTTCGTGCCCCGGGAGGTGAGGGAGTCCTGGGCTTAGAACGACCGGCTCCTCCCGGTTTTAAAGCCGGATCCCTCTCTGCTCGGGGCAAAGCAGGCGTTGCCCCGCTGGACTGGGCTCAGGCTGGGGACAGGCTGCTGTCTTCCCGGACTCGGGGAGCTCGGTCCGGAGAGGGGCGGCCCCAGGGCGGGTGGTGGGGAGCCGGGACCTCGGGCCAGAACCACAGCGTGTGGATCCAGGTTCGCCTCCCACTGCACGCGTGACCCGCTGCGAGTTACCTCTTTGTGCCGCGGTGTCCTCGTCTGTCGAAAGGGAATAATGCGAAACCAGCTCCGAGGACTGCTGCGCGGGGTACACGAGCGCAGACGGGGGAAGCGCTGTGGCAGGCGGGGCTTGGGACCTCCGGCCTCAGCAGGTGTCAGGATGGCCTGCAGCCCCTACGGCTGGGGAGACCGGTAGGGAAGGAGGTGGAGGGTGAGTATTTGCAAGGCTGCCTTCCCTGCAGAGAGGGGCCACGCGGGACTCGTTCACGCAGCTCTCCCGCAGCCCCCCCCCCCCCCGTGTCCAGCATAGAGCCGGACAGGTAGGAGACTTCCACGGGCAGTTACCACACCAGTGAAGGGATGCTGCTTCAGGCCGTACTGGTGATGTAGTGTGTGGGGCTGTGGTGGGGTTGGGCTGCTTCTCCCCGCCTCAGTTTGCTCACCTGTGGAGTGGAGATGGGTGTACCTACCTAACTGTGGGTTTTTTGCAGAGAGCCAGGGAGAGGTCCTGCGTGGATTCAGGGGTTTAGGCGGGTCGGTGGACAGTACCTACTCGGTGGACATCATGTGCTTGTCTGGCCTTTCCTTGCACCATCCCCGTGGTTTCTTGGAACTCTTCTGAAAGGGGCTCAGGATGGTCTCGTTGGCCTGACCCCTTGTTTCACAGATGGGAGAACTTCGAAGTTCAGGGAACAGTGACTAGCTGAGGTCACAGTGCTTGTGGGGACTGCTGAGGTTCCCAGCCTGGCCTGTCACAGGGCTCTTTTGGTGGTGGCAGTGGCGGTAGCGGTGGGGTTTAGGTCTGTGTGTATGTGTGTGAGAGAGAACCCTATATTATAAAAGCCTGATATGCTAAGTGTCCAGTCGTCTAGATAGCAGTTCAATCAAAGTGTAATATGCTAATGATACGCCACTCAGCTGGGGTCTGGCTAATCAGGACTAAGCAAGGTGGGCTGGACACGCCCTGGCTGGCAAACCTCCCATGTCCCTCCCCGGTCCCTCAGCCTGGCCTGTGCTCTCTTGCAATCTGGGCTTAGGGATCTCCCCTGTCCCCCTCCTCCCCCCCGCACGAATTTCATGCCCCGTGCCTCTAGTGTTTTAAGAACAGTGACTGTCATTTTTGTAAAAATGTAGAGGGGGGCGGGGAAGGTTAAAAATCACCACAAATCCAATCCCAGAACGAAACCTGTTATCAGGGAACAGGGTGG